AAGCAAACACAGAGAACTACTTTGGGCATTTATGGTTCTTAGATTCCCCTGAAAGAACCCACTATCCCCTCATGTTTTGCTGTGGTGACTGGTTGTGTAAAATTGCTTTCTATCTTGGAGGATGGCACTTAGAAAGTTAAGGATCAGGGACTAGCAGGTGGCATGGTGGTTAAGGTGCTGGACACTCCCATATGGCTGACCACGGGTTGAGTCCTACACCTGGGGACCAGCTTTCTCACTTTCTCTTTCTGTTTCCCTCTGTGTGTGTTTCTCTCTGGTCAAATTAAAAATAAATAAATGGATGAATACATTAAAAATTTTAATAAAAAGTAATTAAAAATAAAAAGAAAGTTAAGGATCATGCTGCAAAAGATCATGCTGCCATTCCCCCTCATCATAGGTCATGTGTGCTGGCCAGAGAGAAACAGAGAAAGATGGAAAGTGAGAAATAACCCTCCCCAGGGGTGATGACCATACCACAATCCCTTCTCTTCATTCTCCTCTTGAGATTTGGGCATGATTTTTGAGCCCCTGGGTCTGGGATTTGAACTGCAGTCAGCCATCTGGGAGTCCAACACCATAACCACCACTCTACCTGCTGGCCCTCATGCTGCCACTTTGGAAACAGTTCTGTAGTTTTTCAAAAAGTTAAGCATTTCATCACCATATCACCCAATAATTCTCTGCCTAGGTATATACCCAAGAGATATGAAAATAGATGTCCACACAAAAACCTGTTCATGCACAATCATTGTGACATTGTTCATAACACCCAAAAAATGAAACCAAGATAATGTATATCAATTGATGAATGAATAAATGAAATGTCTTTTATCTGTACAATGGATATTATCCGGACTTAAAGTAATAAAGTACTGAGACGTACAGCAGCACGGATGGACTTTGAAAGCATGCGAGAAGTGAAGGAAGCTAGTCACAAATAGCCACATACTGTATGAGTCCATTTATATGAAATATTTAGAATGGGCAAATCCATAAAGATAGAAACTACTGGATCATCAGAAAAGTCATACTGCATTTTTGCATAGAAAAACAGAAAAATCTGTCATGACTTTTTTAATGACCCAATAATTTGGTGGGAGGACTAGGAGAGAGATGAATGGAACGTGACCACTAGTAAGTTTACAATTTCTTTTCTGGATCATGAACATGTTCTGGACTAGATAATAGTGATGATTGAAAAGCTTTGTGAATATACTAAAAACCACTGAATTGTATACACTAGAAGGGTGAATTTTATGGCATGTAAATTATATCTCAATAAAAAATAACCTGCTTTAACTAGTATAAGCATACATTTTGAAAAGAAGCTAGTGCTCTGTCGAAACTCCAGGGGAGTTAGAGTTGGGTTTATAGGCTATATGGTTGGAAACAAAACCTAGATTATCCTGTGGAACATTCTATTGCTACTTCCCTTAGCAGGTGTCTGGCAGACTGCACCCAAACACTAAGTGTAGGATACCATTAAGCTCCCTATGCTGCTGCCTCAGAAACACTGTATCTCTTCAGCCTTCTGGATTCCATGTAGTACTTCCTCTCTACAGTTCTTTCTGCATCTAAATGATCACAAGCACAGCTCATTGGTTGAGCCTAGGCCATAGTCTATAGCTTAACTAAAACGGAGACTGTGAAATCAAGTGGGGTGGGGGTGGGAGAGCAAAAAATTTAATGGACACAATAATAGAAAATTATCTGTTGATGATAAGATGTTTAGTAATAGCTCTGACTGAATTAATATGCAATATATATGCTGGGAAAATTTATTTTTATGTTGTAGAGATGCAGTAACTAAACATAATAAAAAATAGATGAAAAAAGAACACAAATTTAGCTTCTTTTTTAAAAAAGAATTATTTTATTTAACTTTATTTATTTATTTTAATTTGCTCAGAGAGGGACAGAGCAAAAGAAAGTGAGAGAGATGAGACAGAGATAGATAGATAGAGAGAGAGAGAGAGAGAGAGAGAGAGAGAGAATGTAAGCTGCCAGGTCTGGGACTCAAACCATGGTGAGCCACATGAGAATCTAGTGCCTTTAACCACCATGCCACCTGCTGGCCCCAAGGCAGAATTCTTAAATTGAGAAGATCCTCAAGTCTAAGTGTATTTGGAAGGTTGTGAGTAAAATGTGACTCATATCTACAACAGATAATCTTCCCACTTTATGAAAACATAACTTTCATTTTAATGGTGCTTAACTTAATTAGAATAATTGGTGGAAAGGCTTATTTGAGTTAATGAAAATTTAAATTATACCAAGAGAAGTTTGGAGGGCAAAAATGGAGAAAGAAACAAAAATGGAGAAAGAATGGAATGAACTGAGAGTTATCCATTCTTTCACTTACTTAGGTAACAAATAACTATTTATTTAAAATATCTATGGGTATTGCACATAGTTTTAAGCACAGGAAATACAACAGTGGAGAAAGATGGACAAGACTCTAGTCTTGAGCTCGTTTGGCTATGTGTGGAGACAAGCCAGCATAATATAATGTGACAAGCAAAGTAACCTGATATGAACAGGGACACAGAGGAGGGACTATGGGAAAAAACCCTCCTCTTTTTATTAACAAATGGAGAGCAAGGGCCCTTTTATGGCCTGTTGGAAAATGCACTCCCCTCTTTCAATTGCTGTCAACTTTATAGGGCAATAAATCGACAGGGCAGGAGCCGGCTACAGCAGCCCAGTCACCTTCACCCAGTGCTCCTGATGAATCGCTGAGGGACAGACACAGCAAAGGATATAAGGCCATGAGGTGAGTACTTTTCCCTATGTAGGAAGTGCTTTGGGCAAGTGAGATCCCTTTCATTTTTTGTTTTCCTGCTTCTTGCTCTGTTAAATGATCTGAATGGCCATAGTTCTAGATCTGATCTTTCCTTTCTATAGAGGATGAGGAGAAAGGATGTTTTGTACATGGAGAGGACAGGTGTGTATGTGTGTTTAGAGAACATATAGAGAATGTGTAGTGTGAGATATTTTGTCCTCACTGGGAGAAACGAAGGAAAGAACAATCACATGGAATCCTTCTGGAAACTAGCTGAAGATAACATGGATTCAGAGGAAGAAAAATGTTTCACAGCTTTGAACAAGAGGGCATTCTAAGTATGAAAGATGTTCTACCTTCAGGAATCCTTGCTTCTCTCCTCTGGATCACAATAGCTCCTGTGGCAGGAAAATATGCCTAGAGTTGTCCTTAGAGTGTTCCTGAATTTCTTGAGCTAGGATGCTAAATGTGCTCCCTTGGGAGGATTAAGGAGGCATGGAAGAGTTGCCTGTTTCTAGTTTGTAGAGATGGAAAGAAAAATCTCTCTATGGAGAGAAACAATACATGGAGAAGGAGGCTAATTGATTGGCAATATGTTTGCTGTCGTATTGAATTGCTGACTTTATGTATAAGAAACTAAGTCAGGAATTATGAGTATATGGAGTGAGTCCCTCAGATATCTTTCACTTCCTGAAATTCCACCACTGCAGCTTTTTGAAAGTTGATTTATTTTTTTCTGAGAGAGATTAAAAGAGAGAGAGAGAGTGTGTGAGAGGGAGAGTCAGGCATCTCTAATAGGGCCTTCATGCTGTAATTCACCCCTAGCTTCAGCCAGCCAGGATCCTGGGCACACACATGTGCTCAGTGTTTACAGAGAGCCCTCAGGATGTCAGTCTGGCACCTTCTCATATGGCATCTGCCCATACGGCACCAGCATTGTGGAGCATTGTGTAATTGCTATGTCACCACGGCTGGATGGATGAAGTATCTTCAAGGTCTTTAAACTGAAGTCTAGGAGACACTGTGGAGAGCATACTTAAGTACTCGCTCTAGAAGTTGTAGCTCTTGGTGTTTGCCTCAGTTCCACCACTAACCATGGATAGACAAAATTTCTTTATATTCACCTCTAAGATGGCAATAATGATGCCTACATGATTAACTTTGTAGGAATTTTATGAAAACATAATAATATGATATATATTGGGTTGTCTGAAAAGTCATGATGCATAGAAACATAGAAAAACATAGAAAAATATGTCCTGACTTTTCTGATAACTCAGTATTTTATGGAGACTAGGTAAACCTTTCAATTAATTTACACTGGCAGAGAGATACCTGATAGATTTGGGTTGCTAAGAAAGACTGGTTAATAAACCTCAGTTTCAATCGCATACACCAGTTTCTCCAAGGGTTAAGGGTTCTTCTTAAACCCTTTTTGATAAATTATCTATAAATCCTTATTCCACACTCTCACTTAAATATTAAAGTGCTTCTTTTCTTAGATTATTATACATTAACCTAAAGGCTGGCCCAAATAAATATTCTAGTTAGGGGTCAGCAGGTGGCAAAGTAGTCAGGTGCAGGACTCCCACACGGCTGACTGTGGTTCAAGTCCTGGACCTAGAAGCTTGAAAATCACACTGGGCGTTTGTGTGTGCATGCTCGAAATTCCAGGAGGAGAATGGATTGCAATGTGACCATCCTGAGGGGTGACTCCTCACTTTCCCTCTCACTCTCTCTGTCTCTCTCCAGTGAGCACAGGTACCCTATGGCAAAAACCTTAAAAAAAATTAAAGTTATACATTTATGTAAAAATATTACAGAAATGGTCATGGCATTAGGATGCAATTGAGAAGAGCAAGGTGCTGGGAAATGCAACATGAGAGGAGAAGCAAAATAAAAATGAGAGAGAGAAATCTTTGTCCATATTGACTTATAGATTGTTGTTGCCAAAATAATGGTTTAGTATGGTAGGAATATAGGGGAAATAAGCTAATCAGCTGGGCATAGAAGATTATAAAGATTTTTGATTACAAAGCTGAAGCATTTATAATTTATCTAAAGACAATCTAAGGCTTCCATACAAGGGATCCACTTCTGTGTACTGGCTCTTTGGGGAAATGACCCAGAGATAATTGGGAATGAAGTCTGACTAAACTGGTAACAGATTGTGATGCGGGGCATTGTGACCAAATAGATAACCAGAGCTGTAAGGAGGAGCTGTTAGCATTACCAATGTGTGCATCCAGGAGATGCTGCTGTCTGCCGCCCATCCCAGAATAGCTGTGAGTGCTCTCATCTAGCTCTGCCATTAAGTTATTGGGACACTTTGTTTCTTTCTCTCTCTTCCAAAAAAAAGAAAAAAGAAAAAAAAATGGACCAGCAGTTGGCGTAAAGGCTATGTCACTTGACTCCCATGTAGTGGACTGTGGTTCAAGTTCTGGACCCAGTGGCTTAAACTCACACCGGGTGCGTGTGCATGCGTGCCCAGGATCCCGAGAGGAGAATGGAGAGGGGATTGCGGCGTGGCCATCCCCCCTGGGGGATGATTTCTTGCTTGCAGTCTATCTGTCTCTGTCTTTCTGGCAAGCGCACACGCTCTACAGTAAAAAAAAAACTTTCAAAAATGATTAAAAATAGAAAGAGAGAGAACACTAACACAGGAGAGGAGTAAAAAGATTCTTAGGGTCCAGGTAGTGGCACAGTGGTAAGGCAACTGTATCCACATATGAAGTTTCCAGGTTTGCATCCCAGAGACTCCCTGAGTACACTGGGCCCATGATCTAGACTGGTTGAGGCTGGGAGTGGATTGTGTCATAAAGACCCTATCAAAAGCATCTGTCTCTGTGTCTCTGTCTCTGTTTCTCCCTAGCATGGAAGAAATAAATAAATAAACTTTAAAAATGAGTCCTATATTTTTGTTTTTGTTTTTAAAGAAACTGGAATTCTGTTCCTCAAACTACTTATCTGAGAAGCAGCTAATTTGACAGAATTGACAGAAGTTGGGATTGAGGTGTGAGAAAAGATGATTTCACATCCACACATGTTGAATCAGGGGGACATGTAAGTGAAACGTCTAATAGGCAGCTAAATATATGAAGCAAAATCTTTGGACTAGAAACACAGGTTGAATTATCATCAGGTGTTCTACAAAGTTACATGAGTGTGGAGATTGCTCAAGGAGAGTGGGTAGTTTAGAAAGGATTTGTATGAAAATATAAGAAATATTACTATTTAATGAAATAGGGGACAAATGAAATAGAAGAGGAGCCAGAAAACCAAGATTTCATCAAGAAATGCATCCTGGAGAGTTTCAAGAAGGGAGTGGTTCACAGTGCTGGATGATTAAGAGAGGGCCCATTGTATTTATAACCAGGTCCCTGTTGACCTTGGAAAAGAAATTTCAATGGAATGCAGGAAGCACAAGTCATTTATGAGGAAGGTAATACAGATATTGTGAAATTATCTTTTCAGAATGTTAGCTATAAAAAAGAATAATGATATCTAGATAGGAACATAGTCATCAACAGCTCAGGGTGACTTGATATGTGTTTAGGAGAGAAAAAACAAGTTCTGAGGCAGAGGTTAATAATGCAAAAAAAAAAAAAAATCCCACAAAAACCAGAAGGGATCATTAGTAGAACAAGATTTTTGAGAAACTCAATGGCTTTGAAATAGACTAGATAAAAGATTAAGTGAGGGATTCTCAAAAGTTTATGGCAAAGACCAGTAGGTGGTGTGGTGGTTAAGGCACTGGACACTCTCACATGGCCAACCACGGTTTGAGTTCTGAACTTGGTGACTTACTTTCTCACTTTCTCTCTCTCTCCCTGTGTCTCTCTGGTCAAATTAAAATAAATGAATGATAAATAAAATAAAAATAATTCTTTTTTTAACAAGTTTATGGAAAATTTATATTATGAAAAAACTACACATAGATTTCAATTTTTTTTGCACCAAAATAAACATACTTTAATTTCATTTTTTCCACAGCTAAGAGCTGGGTGCATTGATACACATGGCAGATGTTTGACTGATGGTTTCATCATGTAGATTCACTTACAGACAAGGGATCCAGGAAGATGAGATCAATGGCAAGTTAAATAATAGATATTGAAGCATAGGTCAGTTAGAGATAAAAATCAAGAGGGGCTAAGAGATTAAAAGGAAGTGGAAAGTGAACAGAAGGCTCAATGTGATCAAAGAATAAGGAAAATTGAAGAAAGGCAATGAGACAGCAAAAGGACCTAAACTGGTGATCAGTAAATGAGAGGTAGAACTTAAAATTTCAAAACAGTGGGCCAGTCAGGTGGCATGGTGGTTAAGGCATCTGGATCCCATATGGCTGACTATGCAGTTCAAGTCTCAGACCAAGAAGCTTGAAAAATACTGCAGGCACATGTGCATGCATGCCCAAAATCCCAAGAGGAGAATGGAGAAGAAATTGCAGCATGGTCATCCTCCCTGGGGGTATTTTATTTCTCTTTCTCTCTTCTCACTCCTCTTTCTAGGAAGCACATATGCCCTATAGCAAGTTTTTAAAAAAATTCAAAATGGAACAACTCTGGAGCACCATAAATTCCAGGGTATAGCTAACATCTAAGGATGATGAAACTAAAGTGACAAAGAAAGTCATTGCAATTGAGGAGTGTCAAAACAGTGAGATATATAAAATGTCAGATTTACTGTAATTAAACCAGATCCAGAATATGATCTCAACTTTGTAGATGAATAATTACAGGTCCCAAAAGGTAAAGAGCCATCCATTAGTAAGAAAACCAGGACAAGAATCCAAGACTTTTGATTCCTGATTCAGTACCTCCTCCAATACAGCAAATGTTTTAAAACTTGGCTCAATGTGTGATCGTTAGAGTTGCTGTGAGCAACCCAATTTATACATGTTTGTGGACTGTGGAAGTATAATCAAGCTTTATGCTAGGATTGTTTTTGTTACCAGATTCTGAAAAGAATCAATGACCTCTAAGCAGTTAAATACCATGACATTATGTCATGGGACTGGGAAGAAGACTTGGATTCAGGCTTTGCTATTTTCTCTCTCATTGAATGTACCCTTCTTTTTGCCACACAGGTTAGGTATGAAGATCATAGAGATATCTAATATGACATTGTGAGACATCTTAGCTTCTCTCTCTTCTGTACATCAGTATTCTCTCCCTCCCTTCAGTTCTTTCTATCTGATATACTTTTCCCCGGACACTATTTATCCCTCCACAGACAGGAAAAAGGCAAGAACTCTAAAAGTGTTGGATGTACAAACTGGAGTTATTGAAGACCCCAAGATGAGTGATAACAAATATCCTCGGGAGTATGAAAAGAGAAAAGCTGATGACCACACTTTTTCTTTTTATAGACAAGTTGATTTTTAATCACCGTGCATATCTCTTCTCTTGGATTGCTGGGGATTTGCTTTAATCCAGTTATCTGTGTCCATCTAGATGGCGAGGAAACTCACTGTATTGGAAGTCCTTCTGATCATCTATTTCCTCATTGTGTCGGTCATAGATATCCTCTTGCTGTTTTTTGTATTGGAAAAAACTCCTCCAGGTAAGGGAGGCACTATTGCTGCTGAGTTGGGAGGGTGGATAAAGAAAGGCCATTTTGGTTGACAAAGATATCATTTTTTTCTCTCACTTTTCAGCCCGCCATCACATTGAAGTATGCAAGATCAACATTAGCAATTAATTTAAATCAACCTCCAAAAGATAGGAGCTCTTTTACTGCAACAAAACCTTGATTAATAATGAAATTCGGGGTCTTTAAAGCCCCATTTGATGCAATTTTAATAGGTTGCAAAATTAGGCTGAGCAAATGACTGTTCTTGAACCAAGAAGTAATAGAGTCTTTAATACAAAATAACAGTTAAAGTAACAGTGCCCAACCCCATTATGTCATGGAAAAGGAAACTAGATCTCAGGGAAGTTGAGAACTAATTAAGCTGGCCTAAATATATCAATTTTTTAGCCTCCAGCCCATATTATGATTGAAATAGCTGATTTCTTCACAGATGCCTTTGAAACTGCCCCCCCTCTTTTTTAGCAAACACACAGAAACATCAAACAGAATGCTTTTTCTCCATGTACACATTATACTCTAAATGATAAAATAATATGTTTAATAAAAATGTATATTCATTTACAAATGAATTTGGGTTTTATTTTTCTTGATAAATCTCATGGTATAGATGAAGAGTAAGTATACAGTGATAAAAAGTTGTACTGATAACAGAACCCTACCTGCTCCTGCTCAAGTCTCTTCTCACTATCTTTCACAACAAACATTACAGTACTTTCTAGAAACAGTTATGACTTTCCAAGATGATTTGAAAACTGTTAATATAAACCCTTCTATTACTACTTCTTCCTTATGAAACTTTTTTGAGTTACAGATCCCATGACTAGTCAATGCGTATGAATAAGTAATTTCTTTTACTTAACATAACTAGATCCTGCATTCATACTAAAACATACTATTATTTTTCAAATTAATTCCACTTTCAACTGTTTTATACATTCGACTTTTATCTGAGATATTGTGAAAAAATGTTTCCATGGTTGATAATTCTTTTTTTTGTTATTTTTTATTTTTCTAATTTGCTTTCTACATTCAATCATTGTACATCACTAAAGCTTATAAAATAAATTACCCAACATGAATACACTTCACACCAAGAACAAATAACATGAGATCTACTCCCTTAACAGATTTTTAAGTGTGTAATCCAGTATTGTTATCTATAGGCAAAAGATTGTACCCTATCTCTATGATCTTCAAAACTTATTATGACCTCCAAAACTTATTCATGGTGCATAACTGAAATGTTATACATATTGTTTATCACCTTCCTATTCCCCCCTGCCCCATTCCCTGCAACCATCATTTTATTCTTTGCTTCTATGAGTTTAACTATTTTTAGGTACGTCATGGAAAAGTAATATTACGGTATTTATCTTTCTGTGACTGGCACCATAATGTCCTCAAGATCCATTTGTTGCATGTTTTAAATTATTCTTTTTTAAAAATGTTTCTTTTAGATGGGGTTTCCGTATATTTTGTTTCTCTTATCTCAGCCTCACAGCTGAGATTAGAGACTCATACTAGCACACCCAACTCTTCTGTAGACGGTCTTACTATGTTGCCTAGGGCAGTCTTGAGCTTGCATTTCTTCTGCTTCAGCCTCTTGTTGGGATTAAAACACATGCCACCACTTTTGGCTTTTAGGTTGGACCAGGAATTGAGCCCAGTTTCCCACGTTGTCCCGGCCTATGAAGCGCAGTATCTTAGCAATGTGAACCACTGTGGCTATGCTAATTTCCTTTGTTTTTGTTTTGTTTTTTATTTTCTAATGTTCATTTTTTCTAAGAGAGAGAGATAGCCCAACAGTAACTTGACTTGTTCCTACTTTCAGACAGCCCCAGATCATGGAAACATGCATGTCTGATGTTCTGTAATATTACTCAGGGAGGACTCCAGTTAAGAAACCAGAACCTTCCTGTGTGGGTCACCCTTGCAGAACTTGTGTTTTACTGTGATACCATCCTCTACCTCCCTAATTTCCTTATTTTTCAGGTTGACTAATAGAAAATATATACAACCATGTTTGTAGATACCACTTTTTAAAATCCGGTCATTTTTCAATGTATATTTAGAACCTCCCCGGTCTAGCACTTAGGAATCAGTGCTCTCAATGTATATTTAGGTGGTTTCCAGATCCTAGTATTGTGACTTGGGCTGCAGTTAATATGGGAGTGTTAACAATCTCTTTAAGGTCGTAATTTCAATTCTTTTGGATAAATATCCAGAAGTGGCATTGCTAGATAATATAATAGTTTTATTTTTAAATTTTTGAGGAAATTTTATACTGTTTTCCATAGAGGCTGCACCATTTTATATTCCACAGAGTTTTGTACAGAGTTTCAATTTCTCCATGTCTTTACCAACACTTATTATTTATTTATTTATTTATTATTATTATTATTATTATTATTATTTTTACAATAATCATTTTAACAGATGTGATATGATATCTCATTGTGGTTTTCATCTGCATTTTGCTGTTGATTAACAATGTTGAACATCTTTTCAGATCCCTGACAGACATTTATTTGTCTTCTTTGGAAAAATGTCTCTCGAAGTCTTTTAAAATCACTATTCTTATTTTAAAATTCTGTATTCTAAAATGTTTATTCAAGTCTATTTTAATAGCAGGTCACTAGCTTTGTTGCTATTGAGTTTTTTGTCTTCCTTATATATTTCAGAAATTAAATTCTTTTCAGATATATGATTTGAAAATATTTTATCCCATTCTGTAGGTTGCCTTTTAATTGTGTTGATTGTTTCCTTTGCTGTGCAGAAATGTTTTAGTTTGATGCTGTCTTATTTGTCTTTTACTTTATTGTCTGTGGCTTTGGTGTTATATCTTTGAAATAATTGCCAAGGTCAATGTCATAAAATATTTTCCCTGTTTTCTCCCCCCTAGATATTTTATAGTTTCAGGTGTTATATTTAATCCATTTTTAAGACATATTTTTATTTCAAAACACGTTGTGCACATATGCTTCCTCCACTACACACACATTTTCATCTACACAAATGCAGGAACCTAACGATAGTAGAGATGTGTTGGGATTCTTTTTTTGAATGGGAACAAAGGCGATGAGGAGCACCTTTAATGTCCACAGTAACTTATTTCAAGCTTCAGGTGAAATCTTGGGGTTTTGGCTTATGGAGCCCACTGAATCAGTCCTACTTCTACTGTTGTTATTTGGGAAGAGGTTGGTTGTTATAAAGTTTGTTGCACAACTTTATAACATACTAAAAACCATTGAATTGTACCTTTTCAAAAGGCAAATTTTATGGTATGTGAATTATATCTCTTCAAAAAACAAGTAAAAACCAAATGTGTTTCATAATTGAAGAAATGTAAAACATTGTATTCAAGTGTAGATACTAACCATTGGTAATATATTGATTGGAAAAATTGGCTGAAAGTCTCTTTCTTTACTAGTTTCCTTTCTAGAAATATTACACTGCAAAATTTAAACTTTGTCTTTTAATTCCTATGCAGATTCTTCATTTATTCCAGAGTGCCCAGATATCTCCAACTCCGAAAGGATAGACTGTGCACCTGGCCAGGTGGTGACAGAGGTCAGAGAAATGGGGTCCCTACCAGTGGCCTACTGGGTTCTTTTTAAAAGAAATAAGTATGTGAATTGGGAAGAAGGTGGTGGTGGAGTGATCTCTTTGGAGTTCTTTCTTTTTGGTTTATTGAAATAGATGGCATCTCTTTTTCTTTTTCCTTTTCTTTTCTTTTCTTTTTTTTTTTGGAGAGGTTTTTTTTTTTTGCTATAGGGCGCGTGCGCTTGCCAGCCAGACAGAGAGAGACAGAGAGATAGAAAGTGAGAAATCCCCCCCCCCCCAGAGGGGATGGCCATTGCCCAATCCCTACTCCTCCATTCTCCTCTCGGGATCTTGGGCACGCACACACGCGCCCGGCGTGAGTTTAAGCCACTGGGTCCGGGACTCGAACCACGGTTGACTATGTGGGAGTCCAGCGACATAGCCATTATGCTAACTGCTGGTCCTGAAATAGATGGCATCACTAAGGAAGTGAGGAAGGAGAACAAAGTAAAGGGGAAAGTAAGAGAAACTAACAAGAGTACTGACCTATGGATTCTAAAGTCCAAAGTGCAGAGAGAATTCCAAGTGTTGCTGAATGTATCAATAGTGTAATTCCAAGGATAGAGGAAAGGTTAAAAGTTTGTGGGTAATAATATGTATCCCTTGAGAATAGAGGTTACCACACACATATGGATAATTGAGCACTTGTAGGACTTTTTAAAACAAAAGCCTCTGGAATTGTTATTATCAACAAAGTTCTCAGTAAACATTTGCAAAAGCACAAAGATTTTCCCTATGTAGCTTCCATAAGAATATCAACTATCTGACCCTACTTAGTTGTGACTTGTGATTTTGTCATAAAGATTGTATATATTTAGATTTCCTTTCTTTTCCCTGTATTCTATATTCTATAATATTCTACTCTGATGTTAATTATGACTACATTAAATTTTAGATTAAATTTAAACAATATTGACATCTTGATCATTTTTAATCTTCTCATTCAAAACCAGAACGTCTCTCATTTCAATTCTTCACACACACACACACACACACAGATATTTCAAAAATCATGAAAAAATGAGATTACAGTGTAAGTTTAATTCATTGCAAAATTTTAAAAAAATCCATTTATAGCGTTTTCTTTTTTAATTTTTCTTTTTTAAAAATTTTATACACATTCAATCACATTGTTAACTTACATAGTGAACATTTCAATATGCGAACATTTCTCCCCAGTCCAGTTGATCAAAATATCTTCTCTCAATAACACCACACCTTCTCATCCCGTCAATGCTCTGCCTCCGTATCCCTCCACCAAATGTCCTTTCTTAGGCCCCACTCCTCCACACACACCACAAATGGCATTCACACCCATCTCCTGTGTTTGTACAACCTTTCGTCAATCAGTTTCAGTCATAGAGTGCCAACACTTGGTATATATTAAGTGGGGACATACAATGTCTCTGCTTCCTAGCCTGGCTTGCTTCACTCAGTAGTAAGTCTTCCATATTCTTCCACTTTCTGTCAAAAGTAAGGGTTTTGTTGGTTTTTATGACTGAATAGTATTCCATAGAGTATATGTGCCACAGTTTTTCAATCCATTCATCCGTACAAGGGCATTTGGGTTGGTTCCATGTCTTAGCAATTGTGAATAGTGTTGTAATAAACATTGATGAGCAAGCACTTTTCCAATGAAGAATTCTTCTGTCCTTTGGGTAGATACAGAGGAGTGGGATTGCTGGATCATATGGTAGTTCTATTTGTAGAATTTTGAGGAATCTCCAAATTGTATTTATAGTTTTTTCATAATATGCATTTTCATAACTTTTTGAAGGCCCCTTGTGCATATACATACAAATTATATACATATTCATAATTATATATATGTATTTCTGAACTAAATTTTATTTCTCTTAAAATATTTTATTGCACATGAATGATAAGGATTTTCCTCATGTATTTTTATCCTTAGTGTCTACTGTAAATATAATTCATTATATTTTCTAACTGGTGCTTATTTTGTTAAATGCTTCCTTTTTTACTAATCATTATTGTATATTTATTATTTTTATTATATATTATATTTTTACTTATATTTCTTTTTTCATTTTTATTTTATTTTTTATGATGATTATTTATACATTCAATTGCTATACATAATTTGGATTGTAAAGAGATTTTACCCAGCATGATACACATCTCAGTCCAGTTGAGAATACAATACACATCCTCATCAACAGTTAACAAACCATACCTGTGTCCCACAGATATCTTGTCTCCTTATTTTCTCCTTAATTTCCTTTCCTGCACTCTTCCCCTCCCACACTCTCCTTCTACTTTGTCTCTAGCATCCACAACAATTGAAACCCATGTCTAGTTTTCCATAACATGCATTTTAATCAACTTTTTGAAGACCTTGCATAAACATGGTAGAGATAAGGGGTCTGAAGGAGTGGGAAGTAATGCCTCAAAGTTTTGACCTTTGGTGTCTGGGCTACTGGTAAATAGTGCTTAAAACTGAAAGAGGGATATTAGGGCAGGGCACATGCAAAAACATTATGTTTATCTGAGTGTTTATTGATTTTTCTAGGTCCATACACTTTGAAACAAATTATGTCAATAAAGTTGTCCTGGCCTATACAAACCAAGGTCAAACCAAGTTTCAAACATAGCAGAGGTATTTGATGTCTCCTTAAGACTTAGGAAAATTAATTATCCAGATCCTATTCAGAACTCCCAAATTCTTTGTCTACTGATCTCTTCCAGCCATTTTTGTTATCCAAAGACAATGAATCAGGAATGTCAATTATATATATGCATAATTAATAGGCAAGTCTAAAATAGTATAGTTGTAATATGATTACTTTGCTTATACTGAGTATGAAACTGTTTTGGTCACATGCTCTATACTGAATACATTTTAAAATAAGGAATATTAATATAGTTATATATAGAATTAAATGGAGAAATATGTATTCACAATTTTCTCTCTACTTCTAAATCTCCTCCCCAGAATCAAGTCAATAATATAATATGAACCCTTTTCTATGCTTTTACATGCATACATGTACATGTACCTATACATATTTATATATAGCTTTAACACAAACTTGATGATACTATATGTTTTCTAACTTTTTAAAGTTAAGGGATTTTAATTAAATTAAAATATTTAATTTAATTAAACATACAAATGTTTAATTTTTTCAGAGGATGCATTAGTTCACAGATAGAGAAAGTGAGAAGTCATTTTCTATGGGAATGGCCACACCACAATCCCTTCTCCTCCATTTTTTCCACCTCTCAGGATTTTGCACACACATACACACATGTCCAGTGCATTTTGCAAGCTGCAGGGTCTAGGACTTGAACCACACATTCAGCCATATGGGATCCATCCACCTTAACTACCATAATACTATTATATTTTTAAAATAGTTTGATTCTATTGAAATAATCATATAATTTGTGAATGACATTAAAAGACTTACTAATTTTGAAACATTCTAGCTTTTGCTTGATAAGCTTTATTTGCATATTATGCATTAATTATTTTAATACACTATTAAAACCAAATTGCTAATATTTTATTAAAATTTTTGGACATTTATATTTTTAAGGAAAATCATACTATGTATTTTTGTTTGCTTGTCTACTATTCACATTCAGTTTATTACCAGAATTATTATAGTTTCACAAAATGAATCAGAAAACTTTTTTGTCCTGAATATATATATATGTATATATATATATATATATATTCATATATATTATCTATCTTTCTATATCTATATCTGAATATATATTATATATAATATATATACTATCTATCTTTCTATATCTATCT